CCCAGCACTTTGCTGTTATGACATCACTTCCTATTTGAGCTTCCTGCTATTCTGGCTTCACTTCCTGTCTTTGCAATCATCACCTCTTGATAGGCTGACTTCATTATCTGGTTATATCACTGTTACCACTTTCTCAATCTCCCATTTTCTAAGTCCACTCTTTAGTCGCTGATACATTTTATAGATAGATAGAAAGATATAGATACATCAGATAGTGCCAGGAACAGTCAAGTGAGTGCCAGGCCTCACTTCCTGTGTTTGCAGACCTCACTTCTTACAGCTCCGAATTCACTCCCTTTTCTGAGCCACGGAGCTCTTTCTCCCTGAGTGCCCTTCCTGCAGGGACTGCTTTCTGCCCGAGTTTCCCCGCCACTACCTTGACCTTAATATTGCTTCTTGGAATTCTCAGAGTTTCTGGCTTGCGGTGGGCCTGATGCCTTGTCTGTGAAATGAGAGGGGATCTTTTGGGACGGACAGTCCCTAAGTTCCTCGAGCAGCCGTGATTGTGAAGCCCTTTGCTCCAAGTCTTCACTCCCTTTACATCCCTGCCAAGTGTGGTTTTATGTCTTCTCTGTCTCTGACCTCATTTCCTGTCCTTGGCCTGATCTCACTTTCCACTGGTCAACTGCCACCTTACTCTCACTTCCTGACTCTCCATTCTTTGTCTTTCCTTAGGGAACTCTGGATAATAATTCTTTGACTGAAGGGGGCCTCTTTGTTCAGTATCCTTTGTCCTCCTTGAGTTGTCTCTGCTGAGAACTACAAGTCCCATAATGCACAAGAGGTGGTCTTGAAAGACCCAAGAAACGTATAGAAAGCCTTTTGTTCCAGGCCTAATAAATGCTAGAAATCCATCTACAAAGCAGGGATTTCTGCATGGAGAACCTTAGGATGTTGAATGTAGTTGGACTACAACTCCCAGAAGCCTTTGGGAAGCTCCCCATTATCTTCACGCTCTACCACCCTGAAGGTTCCAGGGAGTTGTCTAACCATTTGTTTGCACCTCTGTATCTCCTCAGACTCTGTATTCAACACTGCCTGCTCTCCTGGATAGTAACCCTTTCACAGCTGGGGCAGAGCTGCCGGGGCCTGGTGCGGAGCTGGGGGCCATGCCTCCGGGGTTGAGACCTACCCTGGGCGTGTTCCAGGCAGCCCTGGAACTGACCAGCCAGTGTGAACTGCACCCAGACCTAGTGTCTCAGACTTTCGGCTACTTGTTCTTCTTCTCCAATGCTTCCCTTCTCAACTCACTGATGGAACGAGGTGAGGGTTGGGCTGGGGGCTGGGAGCCTGTCAGGGAGGCCAAGACAGGAGCCCAAGCTGAAGGATAGGAATGGTCTGGGAGGCAGGAGGACAGAGTCCACCACCCATTGCCTCTCATAGCCTTAATACCCTTCCATCACAGGCCAAGGCCGACCTTTCTATCAGTGGTCCCGAGCTGTCCAAATCCGAACCAACCTGGACCTTGTCTTGGACTGGCTACAGGGAGCTGGGCTGGGCGACATTGCCACTGAGTTCTTCCGGAAACTCTCCATGGCTGTGAACCTGCTCTGTGTGCCCCGCACCTCCCTGCTCAAGGTGACCCTTAGTCAGCTGTACCCAACCCTGACCTCTGACTCCTCGATGCCACCCAGCCACCTTCTGGATTCAGCTCACCCTTGGACCCAATGTCATCCCTGCCCCAGCTCAGAAAACTGTGGGTGATGCATTGGCAGCTAGAAAGAAGCCAGCACCAATGATGACCAAACTTGGCTACGTCTGAATCCCAGTGGAACTTATTAAAAACAGTTTCCAGGGTTCCTCCCTCAGACATACTGAGTCAGGAAGTCTGGTGTGAGACCAAGTATCGTGATGGTAAAACATTCATTGAACATAAATTATATGCCAAGCACTGTGATTAGCACTTCTAGTAGTTTATTAATTGACAGTTTTTCAGATGAGGAAACTGAGGCACAGTGACTTGCCAGAAGGTAATAAGTAGCCAAACTGGGATTTTGGACCCAGACAATCTGAGTGGAGTCTCTGCTGATGATTCTGATGCCATCTAGGTCAGTTGTAGAGATTGTCAAACAGATATAAAAGGTGGCTGCAACAGAATAATACATCCCTATGTACACACCACCAGCTTCGATAATATGAACTATTGGCCCGTCTTGTTTCTTCCCCAACCCCACCCACTTCCTATACCCTCTTTTATTCTGAAGCAAACCACATTTTTTAAAATTGCTGAGAGCACACCCTTCCCCACCATCACTTCGGTGACAAACAGGCTTCACAGTGCCCAGCAGACACTGCGCAGACCCCACGATGTGCCCACCACGTCCACTCCCTTCATGGATGTCTGTCCAGTCCTGATTCTCAGCCGCCCCATGATGACCATACACTTCTCGCCTGCTCTTCCCACCAGGCCTCATGGAGCAGCCTACGAACTGACCACCCTACACTGACCCCCGCTCAGCTCCACCATCTGCTTAGCCACTACCAGCTGGGGCCCGGCCATGGGCCACCACCGGCCTGGGACCCTCCCCCTGCAGAGCGAGATGCAGTGGACACAGGTGAGATGTGGGGAGACAAGCATTGGGGCTGCCAGCTTTCTTCTTTCCTCAGTACGCAGGAGTTCCTATTTCCACCCTCCTCTTCCTTCTGGTCTGGGATTTTGGACCCCTAACCCTCCCCTCCCCTAGACCTAAGTGCTGGACTCAGCCCCCTTGTCCCCCAAGATACAGGAGTTCAAGTCCCCAGCTCCCCCTTTTTTCTCAGGGGTCACGCCCCCAGCCTCTTCCCTCGACAACCACCCACCCACCTGTCCTAGGAGTCCGGGCTCCGGTCCCTCCACCTTCAGGAATCCTTAAGACTAAGTTCCCAGCCCTTCCTCCCAGACCTAGGGACCCAACTACGTCGCCCGTTTCCAAGGCAACGGTGGCTTTTCATAGTCTGAACTACGACTCCCATCATGCTTGGGGACTCCAAGAGTTGCGTTTGGGTGGACCCTGGTCCAGGCGTTGCTGGGGGTTGAAGTTTTTTCTTCTTTTGGGCGTGATGCAGCCTCCGCTCCCTCCAACACAGCCACCTCACGCCCATTTTCAGAATCTAACCCCATCTTCTTTGGCCTCAGGGGACATCTTCGAAAGCTTCTCATCGCACCCTCCCCTCATCCTGCCCTTGGGCAGTTCTCGCCTGCGCCTCACGGGTCAGGTGACGGACGACGCCCTGCACCGTGAACTGCGCAGGCTCCGCCGCCTCCTCTGGGATCTTGAGCAGCAGGAGCTACCGGCCAATCACCGCCACGGACCTCCCGTGGTCACGCCTCCTTGAGAACCAATAGCAAAGGAGCGCGCGAACCTTGAAAATTCATGGGGGCTCCTACTCACTGGAGCGCGCCTGAGCGCAGAGCTTTCTGGGAGTTGTAGTTCTTCCCCCTGCATGTAATGCTGGGAGTTTGAGTTTTCGGGTAGTGGAGGGAAGGTGGGAAGATAGGCTTGGAATGTGAGTGCCAAGGAGCAATAAAGATATCTGTGGTATTAGCAACGCCTCCATTGTTAAGACTTGGGTGCGCTAGTGATGATGGTTTTCTGTGCAATAAGGTACCGGGGCCCTTGCCTGGAGCGTTGGGCCCATGCCGAGTCCAAGGAGGTATTTATAGCCACGGCCTCAGCTTGCCCTCTTGCATGTAATCCAACCCAGGAGCGCTGGAGCCTCCCGTACGCCTCAGAACGCAGCCCTAAGCTTGCTCTGCCGAATTTCAGGCCCTCAGTCCTGCTAGTGGGAACCACCATCTCTCCCTTCCACCCCAAAAGTCCATACTCCAGCCCCATCTCCCTCAGACCCAGGAGTCTGAGTCCCGGCCCCCTTCTAGACCTGTCTGCCTCTTGGGCACACCGCTGAATCCCAACACCTCTGTCCCTGTTCCCAGCCCCCTCTTCCCGCAGACTCAGGAGTCCAGGCCCCTGTCTCTTTTTTCAAACTCAGGAGATTAGGCCCCCAATTTGAACGTTTCACTCCACTGAACCTGACTCCTGTTGCTGCGTCAGGGAAAAAGTAGGCGACAGGTGGCACCTGCCGGCAAGGCTGGGACAAGACCACCTGCTGCTGCTGCTCACCCGACCCCCCTCTCCTGGCACCTGCTTCTGTCAGTCCGCTGCTCTACCCCACCCCACCCCACAGTCCCAGGACGCGCGGGAGGAGCGAGCCTGGAACCCCAACATTTGCCCCGCCCCGAGCCCTCCCGGCGCGTGCTCCCGCCCCTTCTGAGGGTCCCAGGCGGGGCTCCTGTCTCCCCCTCCCTCCTCCGCCCCGCTCCAAGGTCTCCCAGCACGCCCCGGGAAGGGGGGTTCGAGGCGGTCCCACGCTGGTGGGGCGGAGCCTGCAGTGTCCAGCCTAGACCGCGGGACTCGGCTGGCCCCAGAGCACAGCTGCGCCAAGCCCACCTGGTGAGAAGCCCCTGGGGTGGAGAGGGGACCCTCCTTAACTCTTCTGTCACTTCTCTGGTCCCAGCCCCTTTCCCACAGACCCTGGTGGCTGACACCCTACTCGTTTCCTTCTCAGATGCAGGTCGCAGGGACCCTTCTATTCCCCAGAGACCTGTCAGGTCCCCTTTTCCCTCTCGATCCGGGATCTAGTCTCCTCAGAGTATTGAGTTCGTCCTTAACCTCCTTCTCCTTCAAGATTCAGGAATCCAGGCCCCGCCCCTTTCTCCCTTTCATGGACCCAAGAGTCCAGACCCCGGTGCCTCCTCCTCAGGACCCAGGACCCCCGACCCCAGGTCCCTCCTCTCCCAGGATCCAGGAGTGGAGGCCCTCAGCCCTTCTTTCTCAGACAAGGAGTCCAGTTCCCCCCTGGAATCCAGAGTTATGGCCCAAGGCCGCTCCTGTCCCTAACTCCTGGCTCTTTCCCAGCTGACTTCACATGCAGGGGTAGCCTCTTGACCTCCACTCTGACCCTGCCCTCTCTGGGGGGGCCCTGCCCTCTCCCCAGTCCAGGTTCCCATCCCAGCCTTGACGATGACCCTGGCGGCTTCCTCCCAGCGCTCCCAAATCATTCGCTCCAAGTTCCGATCTGGTGAGAGGCTTCTCTCCGTGTGTGTGTGGGGGGGGGGGGGGAAGGGCGTCCCATCCTGCGTCTTGAGAATGCTCTAGTCTGGGGTGGGGGTGGGAGGGGACCCAGGAGGCATGTGTTTTCTGTGCAAAAGGTCACTTTGCGTAAAAGAGGCCCTAGCAAAGGGGTCAGGTTGTGGAGGATTGATGAGTGTGCAAATGGCTAGTACAATGCTCAGGCGAGCAACGGGCAGTGGGTGGCAAGGGGTGGGCGTGTAGAAGATCAGGCGCTGCAAAGGCACCAGCGCTTAAGCTGAACACGTGTGCAAAGCGGAGGAGTGGGCAGAGTGGGGACTTTGGAGGACCGTGTGGGAGTGTAGGTGAGAGGACAATGAGCTATCAAGCCTTGAAAGTGTCAAAAGTCCTGTTTAAGGTCCCAGGGCAAGCGGAAAGTGTGTAAGTGGATACAACTGGGGGTGAATCCCTGAGTAGGTAAAGGATACTTGAGTGTGCAAATGAATGTGCTTATGGGGTTGGGCGGGTACAAAGTCACCAGTAACCAAAGAGCAAGGGCTGTGCAAAAAGGTACAAAAGTGCAGAGAAGTGTGCAAAGGGAGACCCTTGCTCCAAACTGGGGGCCAAATCCTGACTGTGCAAGTAAAAGTGTTGACGTGGCTGGGTGGGTGTGGACGCAGAATGAGCCAAGGATGAAGAGAGTAAAAATGCCCAAGTGCACAAAAGTGGCAGGTGTGCAAAACTAGAGCCCAGAGAGATGAGGGCTTAAAGGGTGGGTGTTCAGAAAGGGGTGATGTGGGAAGACCCAGAGGTAGCACGGAAGGCAGCAGGCACATGCAAAGCGGGATGCACAGAGGAAAGGAGGCAAGCTGCAAACGGGACAGGCTGCCGAGACGGCAACCATGCCAGATGTGGGGTGGGCACACCTCGTGAAGGGCGCAGGTGGAGCCAGGGGCAGGCCTGCCTGCTGCCTCCACGCTGGCTCCTAGCCCCAGAATGGCTCAGGCCTGCGGCGCTGGCAGGGAGCAGGCAGGAGGCCCAGGAAAGGGAGCAGGCTGCCCGCCCACCCGCCTGCACGGGGTGTGTAAGGGGGCTGGGCCCAAGTGTCCCGCCAACAACTGAGGCTCCAGGCCAGGCTCCTGGACACTCCCTTCCCGCCTTCCTCCTCCCACCTCCCTCCTCCCACCTCCCTCCTCTCTGCACAGTCCTCCAGCTTCGGATCCACAGACGGAATCAGGACCCGAGTAAGTGTGGGCCCTGAAAGGGAGGGGATGGTGGCCCCACTACCCTGGGACACCGTGCGGTACAGCTGCCACACATCCCCCACTGGTTCCTGCGTCTCAGCCCCTAAGCCCCAGGATAGCCTGAAATCCCATCCTGTCCTTTCCCAAGGACTCAGGAGTCCAGGTCCCTGGCCATCCCACCCCTAGGAGCTCTGCTTCCTGCTCCTCAAGCTTTCCCACCCCAAGGAGATGCCCGAATTCAGATTCTGTTTCTTTGGGGCAGACAGGCGTCCAGACTCCACTCTTGTCACAGATAAGAAGCTCAGGATGTAGCTTTCAGCTTTTCCCTCTCCCAAGAACCAGGACTGCAGGCCCCACCCTGTCCCAGCAAAACCCCAGATATCTGCGATCCTCAGCTACCACATCCCCCTTGGTGACCCACAACATCATTTCTGCTTTTCTTGAGAATGGAAAAATCTAGGCCCCAGCACCTCCGCCCTCAGATCCAGGAGTCCCAGCAACCAGCTCCCACCGTTTGGGTTTTGCTCCCTGGGCCTGGCTCCCGCAAGCGGGGGCCTCCTTTCCACACAGCCTTGCTCCTCCCTGCCTGGCTTGCTGCCTGCAAGCCTCTCAGGGTCCTTCGCCGCCTCTCCAGTCTCAGATCCAGACCCGTGGATCTCAGCCTCAGGCCCGGCTCCTGCCCCAGCCTCGGCCTCGGCCTCGGGCCCTGCCCCTTTCCTCTTCAGCCCTGGGGTCCTGCTCCCTGAGCCAGAATATTGTCCTTGGAGGTCTCCAGAGAAGGTAAGTTTCCACTGGAGTGAGAAGTCCCTCTGAGAGTCTAGCTTTGCTCCTTGCTGCTGCCCCTTTCGCTCCTCTCTGGCGATGCCAAGCTGACCCCACACCTTGCCTGTGGCTCTCAGTCACAGCACCTCATACCTGCTTTTCCAGGAGTCTCTCAAGGTCTCCCAGCGTTGGAGGGAGTCCAAGCCCAGGGGGAATTTGACGAACCACCAGTACATGCCCCCAGAGCCGAGACAAGGACCCAGGTTAGACCCCCAAGCCGAAGAGGGGTCATCCCTGGGTCCTCCCAGGCCACCTCTGTGGGAAGGGACAAACTCACAGCAGCCACATCCTAGGTATGACTCCCATTTCTCTTCTCCCAGGACCCAGAAATCCAGGTCCTAGCATTCTCCTCTCTCAAACCCAGAGTCCGAAACCAGAGGAGTTTGGCCCGAAACCCCCCTGCCCTCCCCAGGACTCAAGAGTCCAATCTCCCAGGCCCTCTCCCTGCAGACCCAAGAGTCTGAGTTTCCATTTCCAACCCCGGCTCCCTGCCCCATGCACAGAAATCTAGCCCCATGCGTTTGCTCCTTCGGAGACCCAGAATTCTGGGCCCTTAGCTTCCCGCATCTTCTCCAGCCCGTCTTTGAGGACCCCAGAATGCCTTTTCTCCCCCTGTCCCATCTAACCTTTGTTTCCCGCTCACGACTATCGCCAGGATGAAGCCCACTCCCCTCACTCCCTTCCCGCCAGGAGTCCCTAGCCCCTCGCCTCCTCCACACAAGTTGGAACTTCAGACCCTGAAACTGGAGGAGCTGACGGTGAGTTTGGGGTGTGACTTCCCGGGCTGGTGCTTTCTTTCGGTGGGGACCAGAAGTCTAACCCCGCGGCCTCTGCCCCATGGAAATCCAGGAAATCGGATCCTCAGTCCCATCCTTTTTAGGGTCCCAAGAGTCTGGACCCCCAGTCCCTCCGTTCTCGGTTTCCAAATGTCCTGCCCCAGCTCCCGCCTGCTCCCCGGAGCCCGCCCAGCACCCCTTCTCCCTACCCCCTCCCCAGGTCTCAGAGCTCCGGCAGCAGCTGCGCCTGCGGGGCCTCCCGGTGTCTGGGACCAAGTCTATGCTCCTGGAGCGCATGCGCGGCGGCGCCCCGCCCCGCGAGCGGATGAAACCGCGGCGCGAGGACAGTCCCGCGGGTGCTCCCTGGCCGCGCCTCAGGCCTAAAACTCTGGGAGCCGCCCGGCGGCCGGGCTCGGTGAGGGCGGGGCTGTGTGCTTGTGGACCAATGGAGAGAAGGCAAAGTGGGACAGGGCGGGGAGTCGGAAAAGAATAGCCAATGAAGTGTGGGGGCGTGGCCCAGCCAAAAGCTGTGTACGCGAGGGGGTGTGGCTCAGAGCAACGGAGGGGCGGATCTTTAGGGAGAAGAAGCCAATGACAGAACGGAGCGAGTCCAAAAGTGGGGTCCTCAAGCAAAGGGCCCGGACAGGACCAGGGGGTGGAGCCAAAGATTGCGAGTAGGTGGGGTTGCGCCCGGTGGGCGTGGCTTATAGGTACTGTCCCTGGCGGTTCTAGGTCAAGCCAAATCCAGCCTCTCTCAGGCCACCTCTTCCAAGTGCTGCAGACACCCTTGTGACCGCTCCAGCTCCGGCTGCAACTCCGGCTCCGGCTCCAGCTGCAGCTCCAGCCCTGACACCTTCCTCAGCACAGACCTCAGCGGCCCTGACTCTGGAGGAGGAGCTGCAGGAAGCGATCCGAAGGGCGCAGGTGAGGGGGTGCGGGTCGAAGGGGGGCTTGGGGTCTCGGGTCAGGTTCCAGGAGGGAGTCCCGGGTTCACGTCGAGTCTGTCCGTCCGCAGTTGCTACCGAACCGGGGCATCGATGACATCTTGGAGGATCAGGTGGAGCCTGATGGTAAGAGCCCAACTCTTAGATCTGGGGGAGGAGGAGGCTAAGGTTTTGGGCTCCCGCTTCCGAGGGAGGAGTGGGCTGGGGAACTGGACTCCTGGAAATGAGGAATAGAAGGCTGGCGCCTGGATCCCTGACTTCCTACGCTCACATCCCATTCCTTTCCCTGCAGACAAACTGCCCCCCATACCCCTGGACTTCCCCTGCTCCTTCAACGTGCTGTCCCCCTCCCCGGACTCTGAAGGCCTCTCATCTGTCTTCTCCTCTTTGCTCCCGTCCCCTTCGAATTCCTCATCCCCCTCTCCCAGAGGCCCCACGGACTCCTTGGACTGGCTGGAAGCCCTGAGTGGGGGGCCTCCACTGGGCTCTGGCCCCCCAGCCCCTAGCATCTTCTCTGCTGACTTATCTGACTCCAGTAGCACCCGGCTGTGGGACCTGCTGGAGGATCCATGGTGACGGATTCTAGGGCTTTCAGAGACTAAGAACTGGTGGGGGTAGACAGGTCACAGAGAGAGACTCCCTGAGGGTAGGGATGAAACATCCAGCAGAGCCCCTCCTCCAGACAGAGAATCAGAGAAAAGCCCCATCCCCACCTGGCCCCTGAACTGCCTGAACTTTGCCTGCCTGACCATATACAATCCCTGTTTATGGTTGTATGGCCAGGGCGAACAAGCTGCTTGCTGCTTCCTTCAGAGACTTCATGGATGTTTTTATCCCCGCCCCCGCCAGCCCTGCCACCCAGTAGATAGCTGCCTGTTGTCTGGGGAGTCTGGAAGGTGGTGATGCTTTTTAGATGCAGGAGAGGACCAGGGAAGGCTGGGGAGGGAGGATAGGGGAGCCAGACCCCTGAGTTCTAGTTGGAGATGAGAAATCAGAAGCCTGGTGTCAGAGGTTAGCTACTCTTGGAAGCAGAGCCTGAGACAAGATTCATGTGCTAGTGATTTATTAAAGAAGTGTTCCTAGGAGAAACCATTAAGGGAGCTGGGGAAATGGGACAGCAAAGGGGAAGAAGAAGAGCAAGAAGGAACTTCAGGTAAAGTCCCAAACTCAGCCTGATCACGTGGGGAGCTCTGGAGCATAAATTAAGTTGCATAGTCTTTCCCACCGTGAGGCATATGGAACTGCGCCTTTGTGTCTCCCTGTTTGGGCTTATGATTGCTGAACAACAAACCACCCTAAAACTTACAGTCATAAAACAATAACTATCTATGATCACACACAATTGCATGGGTTGTCTGGGCTCAGCGGGGCAGTTCTTCAGCCCCACATGATGTTGGCTAGATTTGCAGTCAACTCAGGGCCCAACTGGGCAGGGACATCCAAGATGGTGCACTCCGATGTGTCTGACAACTTGGTGGGGATGGCTAGAAGGATGGACCCAGCTGGGTTGCAGAGACATCTGGACCTGTCTCATTCTCCAGGCAGCATCAGAACTGTCCCTCTCCGTGTGGTCTCTCCAACAGGAGACTTCTTACATGGTAGCTCAGGGCTCCCAAGAGCAAGCATTCCAAGAGGAGAGAGTAGAAGCTACCTGTTTTTCAAAGCCTAGGCTTGGAACGGGCACAATTTCACTTCCACTAACTACCTCCTATTGGTTAATGCAAGTCAAGCCAGCCCAGGCTGAATGTGGGAGGGTTGTGTGAATATCAAGTGTGTGGTCACTGGGGGCCATGTTTGAAGACTTCCCACTACCCCACCTCTAGTCAGTCATGGGCCATGGATCATGGAGGGAGGTAGGGAGGGAGGACATAAACTCCCAGGTACCTCCAGCCCCAGGGCAGCCCTGGGAAGGTCATAGGGTAAGCCGTTAGCCGCAAAGTGTTCTAAAATGTGAGTTTTATTATTATTCAGGTAAGGCGAGGCCATCAGATCAGAAGATGGTCTCCACTGAAAAGAGAGTTTGTTAAACTCACAGATCCAAAGGTAGGGGGCACTCTATACCATGCAGGGACACATGGGAAGCACCAGTTGGTCAGGAGACAGGGAGGGAGGAGACCATGGGAGAGAGACTTTGTTGTAGTTTCTGGGGGAAGAAAAAGATTAGGGAAGATAAGCAGGTTTAGGATTGGCTAGTTTAAATAATTTCAGCATGTCCTGGGGCATAGAGGCTGTCCTGAGTATTCTGGTGCCTGGCCCTGGGGTAATCAGCACAAGGTGGACAGTGGCTCAGAGTGTAAGAGCTAATAACGGAGGTGGTTGGGGTTGTAAACTAAACACAAAATCCTAAGCTCCCCAACCATTAAATGGACCCCTCTCTTGGCCAAGAGGACCCCAGAGAAACCTGAAAAACTGAGTTCCCAGCCATGACAGGACGAGAGGTCAGACATTCCTCATTACACCCCTTCCTTTTTGGAGTTTACACCCAACAATTGAAGAGCATTAATGTTAAAATAGAGATCATAAGACTCGCAGCATGGTCTCTGTGGCAATAAGATACCAAATAAAAGAAGACCTAAGGCCATGCCAGGCAAAGGCTAAGTCATGCACCCCTACACTTAAAAAATAAGCTATGTTCTAACTGTTACAAAGTTTTTCTTTTTCTCTAACAGTTAAACAAACACTGGCCTCAAAATGAGCAATACTGAATAATTTACAGCTCACTGCCAGACACTGACCCCACCCCTTCTTCCACAAGCCGTAACTACAACTTTAGTTAGACAACAGATTGATTTTTCAGGCTGTAACCTTTTATAAAAAATAAAACTCTCCTCTCCAAATTTATAAATCTTATAATTTTTAAGATAACAGGGTGTGGGCTCTGGATTGGTTGGTTTGCACAAAAAAAGCATACTCACAGTGAGTTCTCTGGCAGTTGACTAGCCCTGGGAGGGGCAGTCCCCACAGTGTCAGCAAGGCCCCAAGATGTCAAAGCAGCAGAAATTCAGAAAATAAAAGGGCATGATTGCTCACACCTGTAATCCTAGCACTCTGGGAGGCCAGGGCGGGAGGATTGCTTGAGGTCAGGAGTTCGAGACCAACCTGAGCAAGAGCAAGACCCCATCTCCACTAAAAATAGAAAGAAATTAGCGGAACAACTAAAAATAAATAGAAAAAATGAGCTGGGCATGGTGGCGCATGCCTGCAGTCCCAGCTACTGGGGAGGCTGAGGCAGAAGGATTGCCTGAGCCCAGGAGTTTGAAGTTGCTGTGAGCTAGGCTGACGCCCCGGCACTCTAGCCCGGGCAACACAGTGAGACTCTGTCTCCAAAAAAAAAGGCATGATTAATACACCAAGCACACAGAAAAAATTGGGGCCTGGCTGCACAGAATTGATAAAAGGAATCTGAGGGGACCTGGGAGGGCCACCAACAGTGCAACAGTGTCCACTGTAGGTGGAAAAGAACAGCAGATCACGCATGTGGGATATGACCTAGAGCCAGTGACTTCTTGTCCTCAGTTTCCTCGTCTGTACCTCAGCCCAGTGCGGGTGAGAGTGCTCACTGAGACTGTCCACAAACCGGTTTTCTCTTCTCTGAGGGCGCAGGCCGGGGACTCTCCTAAATCTGACTTCAATCCCCACTTATGACAACCCTGGAATGTGTGACACTGGGCATATATATCACTCCCTTTCTCTAATCTCCAGTCATCTCACCTGGAAAGTACAGGTGACATCCCCCTGGCACGTGGGATGTGCAGATAAACGTCAGTCACCATTATAAGCTGCTGATCGACAATTCTAGCACCTCAACGTGTGTGAACTCTAGTGGACCTTAGAGATCCACAACCAAAAAGGGAAGGGAATGAATGTTATTACCAGGAGGCAAAGGCAATCTTTGGTGTCTTCCAAAGCAATCAGGTGGGATTTGTCACACATTCCGGGGTTGTCATAAGCGGGGATTGAAGTCAGATTTAGCAGAGTCCCTGGCCCGCGCTCTCAGAGAAGAGAAAACCAAAAGCCTCACTGTCTGCTCTGGCGAAGCTCAGAGATTTGCAAAGAGAGAGAGAGAGTCACAGTGCAGTGTCATAAGTATTTTAATGGCAGTGGTACAAAGGATTATGGGTCCCTGACTCCCAGAAGCGGAAGGAATGGGAAAGGTGGGCAGAGAAAGCATCTCTGCTGACGCAGGAGGAGGGGGAGTTGGTTGGAGGGATCTCCTGGAAGACAGCGTCCTCGCAGAGCGAAGAGAGCCTGCAAAGACCTGAAGCTGGGAAGGTCGCCCGCGATTGGGAGCCTTGTGGAGTCTGCCTGGCGGGAGGTGGGGGGCTGCTGCCCGGTTGGGCTGAAAACTGGTGGGGAGGGGACAGCCAACCCTGGAAGGATCAGGAAGGGTGTGGCGGGGTTGTCCCCATTTCCGCCTGACTCAGGCCACTCTCTGTCCCCATTTCCGTCTGACTCTGCCTCCATTTATTCCGTCCATATCTCTTTCTCGTCTCTCTCCGACTTGCCCCTGGCCGGTCTCTCCCGGCTGGCTCCCTCCCCACTCCCTCGGGCCCCTCCAGTCTCCGCGCCAGGCTCCCCTCCGCCGCCCGCGCTCCGCCCCCATCTCCCGCGCCCGGCAGAGGGCGGCCTTGAGCCGAGGGCGCGCCGGGGCCCCGGGAGAGTCAGGGCGGGTGTGGCTGCCGCAGGCCCACGGGCTGTGCGTGCGGGAGCCCCGAGCCCGACGCAAGGGCGTGCGTCCCGCCCTGCCCACCGTCGCCCACCCCTTCTCCAAAGATTTCATCCCTCCTTCCTGCTCTTGGGAAAACCGGGGCCGGGAGGTCAGACCCGATTGGTTGGACTTCGACTACTTTGCCAAATGGCTGTGCCCACCCATGTGCCCACCATCAGCACACCAGGGTCGCATCGCCATTGGGCTGTGCAGCTTTCTTCTTCTCAGTCTGCTGGGCTGTTACCTGTGCTATTCCCCAAAGTTCATTTCTCCCTCCTGGTTGATAATGGGGACTCCCAGACACCAGGCAGCCTGGCCATGAGGACCCAAGAGCCAGGGCAGGGAGGGGGCAGGGGGCTGAAAACCTGGGAGGAAAAGAGGAGAAATGGGAATCTTGAACCTTCGTGCTCTAGATGGCAAGACTGCCTCCTCCTCTTGGGCCAGAAAACCATCTTCCATGCCAGACTTGCATTCAGACCTCGAGCCCTTCCTCACTGGGGACTCGGGACCAATCACTTCCCCTCTAGGACATCATAGCAGACCTTACTCCTAGGTATTATTCCCAAGAGAAATGAAAACATATGCCTACACGAACACTCGCATGCAAATGTTGCCAACAGCATTAGTCATTATAGCCCCAAACCGGAAACATCACAAATGTCTATCAAATGCCAAATGGATTAAACATGGCATGGTGCATCGGCACCGTGGAATACTCCTCAGCAACGGAAAGGGAGCGAACGACTGATACATGCACGAGCGTGGGTGAATCTCAGACTCGTGACACTAAGTCCTTCCTTCCTTCCTTTCTTTTTTTTTTTTTTTTTTTGAGACAAGGTCTCACTCTGTCCCCCAGGCTGGAGTGCAGTGGCATGATCGCAGTGGTGTGATCACAGCTTGCTTGCTGCAGCCCTGAACTCCTGGGCTCAAGTGATCCTCCTGCCTCAGCCTCTCACACTTGCTGGGATTACAGGTGTGA